GTTGTTCTTGCGCTTTTCATTTCGGGGGAAGTCGGTAAGCCATGTTTGAGCGCACCAGTGCCTGAGCAGTGCAAACTTTCAGCAATCCCAGTAAAAAGAACTGCGGCCCGCCGGACGAGAACTTTGTTGCTGAGGTTTCATGTTTAGTTCAAGCTAGGAGCAGTGCAACATGCCTTAACATGGGTGGATCTCTGGAATCAAGCGAGAAACACTCTTCCCGCCTCCTTGCGTGCGAGCCTATTCCCGTCACATGTTTGTGCCTGGCGAGGCTGTCTCATTCGCACCTGCTCCAAGTTTAGGGCTTAGTGAGTTTCTGGACGTTCATGTATGATTGCGAGTGTTAATATTTTAGCAACTGCTGAGTCGTACATGTTGTTGTTGGTTTGGCCAGCTTTCGGTCACCCAGCCTCTCAAGCGAAAATGTCTTTTGCGTAATTCACTTGCATGTGCACGCTGCGGGGTTTGCGGCGTTCCTTGTGCTGCGGCCAGCATTTTGTGCTGAACACGAGGTTGCTCAATTGCACCTGCAAAATCCAAACGCCGCCACAGCCAATCCACATCCGCATTTTGATCTTCAATGCCGGGCGCAGACGGTGACCTGACACTATGGGCTCCGCTCTTAATTTCTTGTTTGGTCTTGTTGGACCTTTGATTTTCCAAGCGATTCATCCTCGCCGGCGCATTGACGAGGATTGTGGTAGCCGTTTCCGCCACGCTCGGTTTCTTTCCCAAACTTCACGTCAGCGACTTTGCTGCCAATATGCGAAACCGCGCGTGAACCCCTCGCTCTCGATGAGGCCATCATCCCCACCGGTGGCGAGTGCCGGGAGGTGGAGCTTACGGCACGGCCGCAGGCGCAGAGAGCCAATCCTTGACATTGTAACGCATGTGCTTATGTTTCATTAGGTACTGGTAATTTACTGACAGTCAGATGGCAATCAATTGAAATCGAATCTTGCAAGAGTTGAATGCGACCCACAAACCCCCACCCAATCCTTTTGTCTTCAGTGGGTGTTTAAAAGTGTTGAGGACACTGGCGTAGATTTGAAGAAGATGATCGAGAAGGTGCTTGCCTCGGACGTGCAGTGCTGCCCTCCTGATTGATGCGAGCTATCAAAATGTGAATGCCCTGTTCTAAGGAATCCCTTGAAATGCAGCAGCCTTCATAGGTTGACATTCCCCACCCCTTCAAGGCCAGAAAAAGCCGACAGTGAAGCAAGGGACCCGTGCAAGGCGGTCAACATCCCTGTCGATGACATGGCACCTTGGCTGAAGGGACACACCCATTTGTTGTGTTTGTTGTGGGTGTCGGTTGGTTCGTGTGGCCTTAACAGCTGGAGCCATCGTGGACAGACACATAGGTGTAAATATGACAACGGCGATTTGGGAATGACTGAAGACTCAGCTTCCAGCTCTCCATCGCGCAATTGTGGCTTTGGCATAGTTGGCTCGTGCCAGGAGATTTTTGTAAAGAACCCCAGCGGGTCAAAGCAGGCGCGTGAGTCGTGGGACTGGCATCGGAGCGTCGGAGCGTCAGCAAGGGGGGGGGGCTCCGGCCGCCCGGCCGCCAGAAGTGGCTCCGCGACGACGCGACGCTGGAGTCCGAGGAGATCGAGGACTCGGAGCCCCGGCCGAGATGGACGCAAGCCGGGGGAGCGCAACGGGGGAAGCTTGCCATGAGTTCCATGTGTTTTGTTTGAGGAAAGAGAAGAACCACCAGCAACATAATTGGTTTTCTAGCTTTGCGCAGGTCGAGTTGCCATTGATCTGGGAGAGTCTGTCATGCATATCTCTCAGGCTGTCCTCACTGTTGGTGTTCATGGTGGAGCTGGCATGTGCATCCTGTGGCCACGCTGGCACTCTCGACCGCCGGTTTTGACAAGTCACGTTTGCCTCCCGGTGTTTTGGCCGGGCATCACAAGGCAGATCGCATTGAAGATTGTGGAAGCAATCAGTCGCTGCCACGCTGCACCTTGACTTGTCAAGCAGTGTTGGCATGCTGGTTGCTTGCTTGCGTCCATCTAGTGCCTGGTTTTTTGGAACTTGAAATTTAGCAAAATGGCGACGTGCTCGTTGAAGGGGTTGTTTTCGATTGCGGATCTAACACGTTGGACCGATTAGTTTCGGCCAACTGCTTTGCTGCAGCGCAGAGCCAGGCACCGGCGGAAGGCAAACAGCTGTTGCTAGGGCCTCGCATTCTTTGGCACCTGGCAACAGCCCTATGGGAAGCAACCTGATCTTTGTACGAACTTTTGAAACTTGAAGTGTGTTAGTGCAGCGAAGGTGGTTCCACGTCCTTTGGTCGCTTGAATGTCAAAACTGGCAGGGCGCAGCAACGGGCGGTGGGCAATTTGGTTTCCTCAGGCTTCAAGTTAGGTGGCGGGAGGGTATGCTTGGACGGTCTTGCATGATGACTTAAGAAATAGATTGGATGCTCCAGTGGCCTGTCCTGAGCTCCTCGAACAGCGGATGCTGGTCTTGAAGCGCCAGGCAGTAAAAGGGTTTTCTGCAAGTGAAGCTTATCAATGTTCCATCGTTGTTACAACTTAAGGTCAGCGACGATGAGCTGCCGCAAGACGCAGTGCAGGAGAGGAGGTGGTGTTCATTGAGTGGCTTGATAGTGAGTTGGCTTGCTCAGTTGCCACATTTGCACCGACAAGGGGCGCTTCGATCAGGACGACACGAGCACATGGGATGCGCATTTGGGGATTGCTTGATCGTTAAAAGTGCAGAAAGCGGAGCTTACGCGGCATCAAGAAATGTTCAGTGCCCCCACGAGCCACTTGTTGCTTCCTCACTCATTAACTTCAAGCCCCTGTTCTGCTCCCTGGCAAGCCTATCTGCCTAAGATGTTGCAACTTTCTACCATCAACACTCTTCAATATCAGACAACCTTGAATAGAACAAGGGAATCGGCACGTCAGACAGGCGCAGGGATTTGTACCAAAGAAGCGACTCCGTTGCCCTAGTTGGACCATATGGAACGGGTGCATGCACCAGCCTGTCGCCAGAACTCCATCGCTGTGAAGGGGGACAGCAGCTACTACTTCGCCCACTCCAGGGCCCGCAGGGGAAGAGCATTGACCCTTTGGGGCCCAGGGAGACGGCTTCTGGAAGAGGCGATGCCCCAAAACACCAATTTGATAGATAAGCCCATGCAGAGGTCCCTGTGTGACGGGAGTTGTGGACATGAGCGTGTGGAAAGGAACACCTACAGTGCCCTGTATTGCGCTCGAGTTCCTGAGGGTATCATCCTTGATCCACTGCGAGGTTTGAGTGGCAAGAGGGTCTCAGCATTTATTTTATATGTATGTTTAAATATACATACACAAAAGGAATATATGTATATACGTATATTTAAGGGCTGCCGCCCAGTGCCGCCGACCCCTCCGCTGGGGGCCAGCCCAGGTTTTTTTTTGTTCTGGCAGCGGCTTTTGGCTGGTTCAGGCTTGCTGGCTTGCTGGCCTTGCTCGCTCGCTTGATTGTTTGCTTGTTTTCAGCGCTTTTCCAGGCCGCGCTCGTTTGCCCACACAGCGAGCACCAACCAAAGGAGCGCTATATGGAAAGTAGACAGCAATCGGTCCCCAGGGCGCAACCAGCAAGAACAGCTTCGCGTCCAGCGCGATTGGAGGCCGCACTCGCTTCGCTGCAGCGAGCACGAACCAAAGGAGTGCGCCGGCAGCCTGCTCCGCCGCGGCCGAGTGCCTAACGTCGCATTAGAGTCCAACATGCAGCAAAGCTATCGGTGCAGAGGGAGCGGCCAGCCAGAAAAGCTTCGCTTCCCGCGCTTTTCCAGGCCGCACTCGTTTGTCCACAGCGAGCGCCAACGAAAGGAGTGCGCCGGCAGCAGAAAGGAAAAGGAAAGCAACCAAAGGAGTGCGCAGAAAAGGAGAAAAAGGAAGAAAAAAGGCCGTACGGGCGGGCCGCGAGAGAGCTTCAGCGCTGAAAACTGTGCCCTGCAGGTGATCGAGCGCTGTTTTAGGCCGCACTCGTTTGCCCCCCACAGCGAGCACCAACCAAAGGAGTGCGAAGACAGGCCGAACGGGCTGGCCGTGACAGAGCTTCAGCGCTGAAATCTGCGGCCAGCAGGGGTTTGAGCACTCTCGGCCTTCTCAGCTCAGGGGTAGTTGGTGTAGCGGCATCACACCCAGCATGTGAGAGGGCGGGCTCAATCCCCGGCCTGTCCATGCCCATGCGCGCCTGCGTCTGGGACAGTCTGCCGATCCCTGCTCTTCTTTCCTTTGGGTTTGCTGTGCGTCTTGCCAAGGGCGGCTGTTTCCACCGCGGCCGGGTGCCGAACGTCACTGTAGAATCCTATACAGAAGGTAGAAAGCTATCGGTCCCCAGGGCGCAAGCAGCAAGAACAGCTTCGCGTCCAGCGCGCTTGGAGGCCGCACTCGCTTCGCCGCAGCGAGCACGAACCAAAGGAGTGCGCCGGCAGCCTGCTCCGCCGCGGCCGGGTGCCTAACGTCGCGTTTGAGTGGCCTCTTTTCGCTGTGGGCAAACGAGCGCGGCCTGGAAAAGCGCTCAAGCACCTGCAGGGCACAGTTTTCAGCGCTGAAGCTCTGTCACGGCCCGCTCGTCCGGCCTTTTGCTTCCTTTCTGCTGCCGGCGCACTCCTTTGGTTGGTTCTCGCTGTGGGCAAAGGAGTGCGTCTAGTCTTCCTTTCTGCTGCCGGCGCACTCCTTTGGTTTCTTTCCTTTTCCTCTCTGCTGCCAGCGCAAGCGCGGGAAGCGAAGCTTTTGTGGCTGGCCGGTCCCTCTGGACCTTCAGCGCTGAAAGCTATGCGCAGCAGGTATTTGAGCACTCTCGGCCTGCTCAGCTCAGGGGCAGTTGGTGTAGTGGTATCACACCCGCTCAGCATGCGAGAGGGGCTGGGTTCAATCCCCGGCCTGTCCATGCCCATGTGCGCCTGCGTCTGTCACAGTTTGCCTCTCCCTGGTCTTTCATCCCTTTGGGTTTGCTGTGCGTCTTGCCAAGACCGGCTGGTACGCCGCGGCCGGGTGCCAAACGTCACTTTTGAGAAAGTAGAAAGCTATCGGTCCCCAGGGCGCGACCAGCAAGAAGCTTCGCGTCCAGCGCGCTTGGAGGCCGCACTCGCTTCGCCGCAGCGAGCACGAACCAAAGGAGTGCGCCGGCAGCCTGCTCCGCCGCTAGAAAGCTGTCGGTCCCCAGGGCGCGACCAGCAAGAACAGCTTCGCGTCCAGCGCGCTTGGAGGCCGCACTCGCTTCGCCGCAGCGAGCACGAACCAAAGGAGTGCGCCGGCAGCCTGCTCCGCCGCGGCCGGGTGCCTAACGTCGCGTTTGAGTGGCCTCTTTTCGCTGTGGGCAAACGAGCGCGGCCTGGAAAAGCGCTCAAGCACCTGCAGGGCACAGTTTTCAGCGCTGAAGCTCTGTCACGGCCCGCTCGTCCGGCCTTTTTGCTTCCTTTCTGCTGCCGGCGCACTCCTTTGGTTGGTTCTCGCTGTGGGCAAAGGAGTGCGTCGGTCGTCTTCCTTTCTGCTGCCGGCGCACTCCTTTGGTTTCTTTCCTTTTCCTCTCTGCTGCCGGCGCAAGCGCGGGAAGCGAAGCTTTTGTGGCTGGCCGCTCCCTCTGGACCTTCAGCGCTGAAAGCTATGCGCAGCAGGTATTTGAGCACTCTCGGCCTGCTCAGCTCAGGGGCAGTTGGTGTAGTGGTATCACACCCGCTCTCCCCCGGCCTGTCCATGCCCATGTGCGCCTGCGTCTGTCACAGTTTGCCTCTCCCTGGTCTTTCATCCCTTTGGGTTTGCTGTGCGTCTTGCCAAGACCGGCTGGTACGCCGCGGCCGGGTGCCAAACGTCACTTTTGAATCCTATATAGAAAGTAAAGGAGTGCGCCGGCAGCCTGCTCCGCCGCGGCCGGGTGCCTAACGTCGCGGCTGAGTCCAATATGCAGCAAGGCTATGGGTCTAGAGGGAGCGGCCAGCCAGAAAAGCTTCGCTTCCCGCGCTTTTCCATTTGTCCACAGCGAGCGCCAACCAAAGGAGTGCGCCGGCAGCAGAAAGGGAAAGGAAAGAAAAGAAACGAAGAAGAACAAGAAAAAAGGGAAAGAAAGAAGGCTGGTAAGGTACAGGGCTGAACGGGCGAGGGCGAAAGGGAAGGGAGAAGGCTGCCACAGTCACGCTCCAACGCTAAACGAACACTCCCCCAGCGCCTTCCCCTTGCAGGCAGGGGGTCGGCGGATATATATATATCTATATGTATACATATTGTACATGTTTCTATTGGAACCAGAGTCAACCCGGCTTTAGGGAACTGGTTTGGCATTGAGCCTTGTCCGTGTTCAAAGAACGCATCACAGCGCGTCGCTCGGCCAGAAGATGGATGTGCCGGAAGAGCACCGCATCGTTTCTGGAGGCGCCGAGTCACAGACTGTTGGGCTTGCCACATGTACCATGTGTTCCTCTTTTTTTTGGGGGCGGCGGGTGTGTGTGAGTGTGTGTGTGTGTGTGGGAATGGCCACAGTACCTATGTGCACAACCATGGACTCCATTTGTTCTCAGGTATATGATGTTGCATGTGCACAGGCGCGCCCCAAAGGCTGGGCGAAGCGGAAGCGCTGAAAGAGCCGTCTTCCCAGTGCCACGCAGCGGGTGGTCAAAATGTATTGACACTCTTTAGGATAGTGATTTGGCTTGGGTTTCTTTGACAAACAAGTTTTGCTGTGAGCACAGGATGCTTGGCCTTTTCACTTGCCCAGCTGCTTTGACTTTCATGCAAGAGGCGCACAGGTCTGCGCAAGGGGAGGAGTCTGTGCAAATGGCAAGAGGCCAAATCGGCTCGAGGCCTGTGCGGCAGGTGCTGGAAGGGGAGGACCTGGGAGATCGCTTCGGTAGGTTTGAAGAGAAAATGACCCTCTGGCTTCATGTTGAGAAAGGGGGAATCATGCAAGTCTTTGGCCTGTGCCCTTTGGGAGGAATTTTACGCTGAGTGAGAGGCATCAAACACTTTGCATGTTTTGGTTCCAAAAGAAAGCACTCATGCTGTTTGTCACAGCGAGTGAAGGCGAGGGTAGAACAAAGGATAATGTTTCAAGCACAAGGCGGATTGTGCAAAGGGACTTGATTTCTTTGCATCGTATGGCTGGGGATGCTGCCACTAGCAGCAAATAGGGGAGTGCACCAGTGCTCTTCTTGGCTCCATCCAGCAGCCTATGTGTTCTGCACAATGGTGCCATGAGGATCAGCTCAACAAGGGTCTGCGATTCCCACATGTCTCACTTGCGCAGTCTGTTGGTTCCGAGCATAAGTTTACCTCCAGCCATAGCTGGAGGTCACATCCTTTCTTTGCGATGCTACGCTGTTGAGTAGGTCTCCGCAGCTCTTAGCACTTTTGCAATTCTCCAGGCACCGGCGCCGAATCCATACCAAGGCAGTGCAGGGGGGCTTCTCCGGGCCAGCCGGCCCCTTGCCCCGATACGACTGCCCCCCCTCCCCACACCAAGCCTTGCAAGCCTTGGTGCACGCGCCATGGCGCCAAAGCTGCGTTTGGCCGCCGCGAGGCTGTGGCAGGGCAGGGCTTTGGGTGTTGACGTGTGGCAGTATCAAGTGCAGGGATTGCGACAGAAACCTGACAGACCAGTGAAGTTTTGCCAGACATGGAAACGGGTAGATGGGAAGATCAGAGGTGAGATCTCACGCGTTCCCCTGCCAATATGACTTTTGGAGGTTGGCGCCAGCCATGCTTTCCGGGTTCTCACTTGGCATTGCTCGACACTTCTCAGGAACATGGCGTTGTGTTTGTCCGTTTTTGTCCGCGGAGGTGCTTCAGGGGGCTCTCAATGATGTGTGCTTCTGACACCGGGTGTGGGCGCCCTGAGGGTTCAAAGTTTTGGGCCGCCTCCCTCATACTACCTGCTGTTTGGGCTAATCCTATGGGTGCCAGGGGGCCACGCATTTCCATGGCTCCCACCTGAGCCAGGCCAACGCAGCTCTCGCAATGGGAGCGGTTAGAAGCACTGCGCAAGGATTTGGGGGCGGGCGCGGCGATGCTTGTCCCGGAACTTGTCCACCTCCTTTTACGCCGAAGGTCCAATTTGATTGAGGATGAGACATATCTTTGAACTCACATTCCGCACCTGTTCCCCAAGTGATGCAAAGTAGGTCTTTTTTAACATGTTTCCGCTTTTCACCAGTCGTTGGACTGGCTTGCCTTTGCTTTTGTTAGACAGGTTCCGCTTTCAGAGGAAGCCACGAGCCGCCAGTGCCGTTGGTTTAAAAGAGGGGCCATGTTGGCGGCTTGGCCTCCAACTTAGCCTGACTTTTATGGTAACGAAGCGGTCAGATTCCTCATTGGCGTGCCCATTCTTGGAATATTGCCCAAATACAAAGAGAGTTCTGTCCATTTGCGTAGGTGTGCTTGTAGGCACACACGAAGCTTTCCAGGATGCGCAGCCCCAAATGGGCCGCTTTCAACATGCTTTCGTGGGTACGCCAAGATGGGACGTTGCTTCTTTCGTCCAAGACGTCTTCCCGAGATAGCGACCGCAAGCAGCGCTGTCGCGCGAGGAGGAGCTCTTCTGCGACGTGGCGCTGCAGAGCAGCGAGGGCCAGCGCTTTCCGGCGCACGCGGCGGGGGCGGTTTCGGGGGTCGGGTCGGGGTCGGGGTCAGGAAATCCAAGACTCATTGCGACCCATTCACTCAATTTGAGACACTTCCATGTGTTCGTTTGCAATGTGATGCGCAGCAATGGTGAGCTGCGCTTCTGAAGTGGTTACGATTTGTGAATGGGGATGGTCATGAGATGCAATGAGGATGACCAGAGAGGTTCCCACTGGATTGTGCACAGGTGAATGCTGGTGACTGCGGGTTTCTAAGCAGGTTGCTGGGCTCGCCGCACATCTGCCCACACGTGCTGCTCATGCGTGGAGGAGTCGTGGCTTTTGCGGATACTCGGAAGGGTTTTTTGGTTTGCGGCGCAGCATTAGACGATCCTGCCTTCACCCTTTGCTATTCTGCATCCCAGAGATCCTATAGGCAACGTGTGGGTGTAGCTGGGCAACGGATCCTCGAGGGTGACACACACACAACGCCTGCAGGATAGGCTTGCTTGTCTCGGATTCCCACTCGTGGCGGGCAGGTGGTGCTGGCGGCTTGCAGCGAGAAGCTGCGGAAGCTCATGGAACAGGCGCTTCTGGAAGTCAGTAGCTTGTTTGGCAAGCATTGGGCTCCTTGTCGGAAAGGACCAAAGGGAACGCATAGCAACTCGTTCACCCAATCGCCCAAACTCCAGCTAAATCCAGAACGATTCAATCCGATTAAAATCAGATTACCTAAATTACCTTGCACAAGCCGAACCAGGTCCAATGGAGCCACGGCAGGCAGGCAAGCAGCCAATCAGACAATCAACCAATAAACCAAGCCGAGACTTCCACCCAAGCCGCCAGCAATAGTTTCGCAAATAATTAGTGTGTCAAAACCAGAGTGCCTACGATGCCATGCGTTGGCCACTTTCGGCCAGTGGCATGTAGCTCCAAAGCAGGGGGCCCAGCTGTTGCTGGGTGTTTCAGTTCTGATGGTTCTTGGTGTGAGCAACCATGTTTACTGTTTTCACACATGGACACAAGCAAGGGGCCCAGTCAAACATGCGAGGACTCTTGTTGCCCCTGTCCTTGGCTTGCAGGCCAAAGTGCCGGAAGGCAGGCGCCCGGGGGTTGGAGGGCGCTCAATCAAGTGACAAGTGCATTGACATTGTCATGGAACGGAATCTACGATTCGTGCTTTTTTTGAGGGGAGTTTATGTTTGTCGCTGCTCGACATTTACAAACCCCCCGCTTTCTTTCGCGCATCCGGCTCCACATGAATTACGTGGTTTTTGGATGCCGCAGGAAATGGGCAGACTGCAGTCAAGCACGCGCTGCTTGCCTGCAATCAAGGAAGAACTTGTGAGGGTTCCATCGCATGGCCACCTGGGAATACCTTCCCCTCGAAGGAATGGACGGGACACGGCGGCGCCAGGCATGCCTTGTGACTCCACTCCAACGCTTCTGGGAAGGAATGCACAGGTGGAGAAAAAAGGGAACGTTGCAAGATGCGCTGATGTTTTACACACCATGGTCCCCGCGTTTGTTCATTCTAGTACGTTCATCCATCATTGTGTGCATGACTGGAAGCAGAAAAAAGGCTTGCTTGGGTCAGAACACCGGGGGAGACTTATTCACGGAAACGACAGGATAGGGGCGAACCATTCCGGAACAAGCGGTGCAAGCAGCTGCCCCAGTTAAACTGCCCCTGTCGCGTTGGCTTCTCTCGAAGCAATCCCCGAACGTCGCGTGTCCCGATTTGGGTGTGGCTCAAAAACAGGGGTCCACAATGGAACTCCGGTAAATGGAAAGGTAGACTAAAACCTGCGGTTTGCCCCAGCTGTTTAGTTTTGAGCCATAGCCATTTGGGATACATCTCCGCATCCCGGAACGGTGAGTTGAGGCACCGGGAGGCCGCCGTGGGCGCCAGCTCCGGTGCCGTGGCCGCGGTGGGGGCCCCGGTCGCCATTGACCCGACTGGAGCGGATTTGGGTATGGGTCAAAATTAAGTCACCAGGGGACAGCAGGTTTTGGTCTTTGCTTCCATTTACCAGGGTTCCATTTTGGGTACCCTTCAAGGGTACCCATTTTTGACCCACACCCATATGAGGGGGAGATGGACTTGGAGTGAGAGCCTTGAGACGAATCCAGCGAGGCTTGCTTCTCTCTATCAGCCTTGCAGTGGTTGATGCAAGGGCTGGCGAGGAACCGCCTTACATGAATCACCGGGGTGTTAAACGAACAGGCCCAGCGGGCTACCACCCATCTGCAAATTTGCAGAACTTTGGTGGCAAGTTGAAGTTGTGATTCCCTTGTTTTATGCTCAGCAACCTGGCTGCTCGGACGATGCTTATGTCAAGGGCTTCAGTCGTTGTAAGAAAAGCTATTGTGAGTATGAGTGTGTTCTTTGTGAGGCTGGCCTTTGTGGAGTGGTTCCGAAGCAAGCGAAAGGAAACCAACATTTGGGGGTCCCTCTCTTGTAGACACATATGAGTGTCTATGTACAGAACAAGTATATTTTTGGTCAGCCCCCATGAATCAATTACCTTTTGCTTTTTGCAGTCCTTTCACATACTTCTTGTGCATTTACAGTACACATTTTGATGCCAAACTGCCTTGTATCGTGTTTTTTAGGAGTTGTAGACTGATGCTTAGCTGCAGACCCATGAAAGTGTGTGTGCAAAACCCGCTGACCGGATTCTGGTCTTTGGGGGGATTCTGCGAGAATCTGGGCATGGCAACATCATACGTTTTTTGTACAGTATTTTCTTGTGTTCTCTGCTTCCCAAGTTTACACAAGCACCGTTGTTTCCGAATGCATGCGAGTGCATTTAACAACACATGCTCATCTCAGACTAAACCAGTCAGAAAGTACATAGAAAGTTAGAAAACAAACAAACCTCGAGAAAACCAACAACAAAAACCAGCCAAACTTCACTAGGTTGTGAACTAACGGAATTAAAGGTGAGCGCATTTGGTAACCATCATTACGATGCGGGGAAATGCCAGACTAGGGCATGAGTCCAAAGTGGCTCAATTTTTATGGTCGCACGCAGCGCTTATCATCGGGGGATGAAACAACAACACTAGAACGCGCGGTTGTGCCAGCACATTGTGCATGCTATTCATAGCCGGTTTCATTATCATACAACATTGGGTATTCAACGGCTACCATGAACAGACAGCCGTCAACTTCTTGGACTCCCTCAAAATGGAAGCGTTCACCGTTGTTTTGTAGGTACTTATATCATAATGCCCCAAGAGTTGTTTACTTGTCCAATGTAGTATCTA